CAGTATGGCCTCAGGACATGTCCCTAAGGCTGGTCCCCACATCCCTTCATGTCCTGGCTGGTCCACACAGGTTCAAGTTCCTCCCATGGAGAGGGTTCTGCACACAGGGTACCCTCCTTCTCAGCAGCCACTAGGGGGCAGAGGTGACTCTAACTGTCCATCAGGACAGTGGCTCCCACCCGGGAGCAGCTTCTGCACCAGGCTCTGTGCTAGTGCGTCCCGTGCACCCTTCCACTTCACCTGATGAATTGACACGTCCATCGATCCTGCCATTGGCAGTGAGTGGACTGAGACCACATCTCCCAAAGGGGAGAGCAGGTCTAAGCCAGAGGGCAAGGTCCGGGGGAGGAGGAAGGTCAGGGGAGGCTTCTGACAGGGGAAGTGAGTGGCCAACTTTTATCTGGGTTTGGCAACAGGACTTATTGGGACATCTCACTGGGGAGGAACAAGATAAGAGGAAGGTGCTTCCGGATGTGGTGGAGGTGGGAGACAGCCCACACCTCTCCTCTGGCCCAGCCGTACCCTCATCCCAGGACATAGGCCAGGCAGGGAGAGGACCCCGGACAGTGGAGAATGTGGGAACACCAGGGGCTCGCCTCTCTGTACACTGAAGCCCCTGCCCAGGAGCCCCGCAGAGGGGAACTAATGTGGAAACACAGGCAGGTAAAGGATTCAGTGCAGGCTGGGAGTGGGGGGACAATCGGCGAGGAGGGCTTGGGGTGGCATAGCACAGAAATGAGTGAACAAGCAGAGGAATGAGTAGGACGCCTCCCCTGCTCCTCTGCGACCTCAGATCCCAGCCCACCGCCTCACCGCAACTCACTGAGCCCCGTTCTTACCCCTCAGGAAGTCCATCCACCCTGAGACCCCAGACCCAGCCTGCTGCCACACTCACCATGCCCAGGTGACCCAGGAACCAGTTCCGTTTCGGAGGCTGCGGGAAACACTGGAGCCGGCGGCACTTGTCGTAGAAGGTGTAGGTCCAGGCCAGGACACGGGCCAGCAGCCAGGAGGCCCCGACCAGCAGCAGGAGCAGCCACGGGGATGCTGCCACCGGCCCGAGGCCCAGCCAGGACAGGCTCAGCTGCGACATCCTGTAGGGGGGACGGATGGAGGGTGAGGTCCTGAGGCCCAGGGAAGAGCCGGAGGAGCTCAGGGGACAGCGGAGAGGGGCAGGGACGGGCAGTGCTGGAGGTAGAGCAGGGAGGCTCAGGGATGGGTAAACAGGCCAAGAAATAAAGTTCAGAAAGGCCCAGCAGCCCAGTGGCCTCCAGTGACCTGGTAAGCACTGAGAATGGGAGAGACAGAGACACAGAGGCTGATTAAAATCCAGAAATGCCCAGGCTGAATCACTGGGAGGTTGCCAGGGGTTTGGTTTCAGCTACCAGGAAACCACCCCTCCTCCAGGCCAGCACCCGGGAGCTGCCTGGGCCTTGGGCAATGCCCCTCTCCATCCCCAGCTAGGCCCCCGAGGCCCGCAACCCCCAGCCTGGCACCTTCTGTCAGGAGCAGCCTGTCTCACACAACCTCCTCTCTCCCTCTGCTGGGA